AGACGCCTCATAGGTCTTTCACAAAGCACATACCTTGATAAGATATTGAAGAAGTTCAATATGGATCAATCTAAGAAGGGGTTCTTGCCTGTGTTACAAGGTATGAAATTGAGCTCAGCTCAATGTCCGACCACGGCAGAAGATATAGAAGAGATGAGTGTCATCCCCTATGCCTCAGCCATAGGTTCTATTATGTATGCCATGCTGTGTACCAGACCTGATGTAAACCTTGCCGTAAGTTTGGTAGGAAGGTACCAAAGTAATCCCGGCAAGGAACACTGGACAACGGTCAAGAATATCCTGAAGTACCTGAAAAGGACAAAGGAAATGTTTCTCGTTTATGGAGGTGACAAAGAGCTCGTCGTAAAGGGTTACGTCGACGCTAGCTTCGACACAGATCTGGATGACTCTAAGTCACAAACCGGATACGTGTATATTTTGAATGGTGGGGCAGTAAGCTGGTGCAGTTGCAAGCAGAGCGTCGTGGCGGGATCTACATGTGAAGCGGAGTACATGGCATCCTCGGAGGCAGCACATGAAGCAATATGGGTGAAGGAGTTCATCACCGACCTAGGAGTCATACCCAATGCATCGGGGCCAATCAAACTCTTCTGTGACAACACTGGAGCTATTGCACTTGCCAAGGAGCCCAGGTTTCACAAGAAGACAAGGCACATCAAGCGTCGCTTCAACTCCATTCGTGAAAATGTTCAAGATGGAGACATAGAGATTTGTAAAGTACATACGGACCTGAATGTAGCAGATCCGTTGACTAAACCTCTCCCTAGGGCAAAACATGATCAACACCAGAATTCCATGGGTGTTCGATTCATCACAATGTAACTAGATTATTGACTCTAGTGCAAGTGGGAGACTGTTGGAAATATGCCCTAGAGGCAATAATAAAAGCATTATTATTATATTTCCTTGTTCATGATAATTTTCTTTATTCATGCTATAATTGTGTTATCCGGAAATCGTAATACATGTGTGAATAACAGACACCATCATGTCCCTAGTAAGCCTCTAGTTGACTAGCTCGTTGATCAACAGATAGTCATGGTTTCCTGACTATGGACATTGGATGTCATTGATAACGAGATCACATCATTAGGAGAATGATGTGATGGACAAGACCCAATCCTAAACATAGCATAAGATCGTGTAGTTCGTTTGCTAGAGTTTTTCCCATGTCAAGTATCCTTTCCTTAGACCATGAGATCGTGTAACTCCCGGATACCGTAGGAGTGCTTTGGGTGTACCAAACGTCACAACGTAACTGGGTGACTATAAAGGTAGACTGCGGGTATCTCCGAAAGTGTATGTTGGGTTGACACGGATCAAGACTGGGATTTGTCACTCCGTATGACGGAGAGGTATCACTAGGCCCACTCGGTAATGCATCATCATAATGAGCTCAAAGTGACCAAGTGTCTGGTCACGGGATCATGCATTACGGTACGAGTAAAGTGACTTGCCGGTAACGAGATTGAACGAGGTATTGGATACCGACGATCGAATCTCGGGCAAGTAACATACCGATTGACAAAGGGAATTGTATACGGGGTTGCTTGAATCCTCGACATCGTGGTTCATCCGATGAGATCATCGTGGAGTATGTGGGAGCCAACATGGGTATCCAGATCCCGTTGTTGGTTATTGACCGGAGAGTCGTCTCGGTCATGTCTACATATCTCCCGAACCGTAGGGTCTACACACTTAAGGTTCGGTGACGCTAGGGTTGTAGGGATATGTATATGCAGTAGCCCGAATGTTGTTCGGAGTCTTGGATGAGATCTCGGACGTCACGAGGAGTTCCGGAATGGTCCGGAGGTAAAGATTTATATATGGGAAGTCCTGTTTCGGCCATCGGGACAAGTTTCGGGGTCATCGGTATTGTACCGGGACCACCGGAAGGGTCCCGGGGGTCCACCGGGTGGGTCCACCTGCCCCGGGGGCCACATGGGCTGTAGGGGGTGCGCCTTGGCCTACATGGGCCAAGGGCACCAGCCCCAAGAGGCCCATGCGCCTAGGCTTCACAAAAGGGAAGAGTCCCACTAGTGGAAGGCACCTCCTAGGTGCCTTGGGGGGAGGGAAACCTCCCTTGGCCGCCGCCCCCCCTAGGAGATTGGATCTCCTAGGGCCGGCGCCCCCCCTGGCCCTCCTATATATAGTGGGGGAAGGAGGGCTTTTTGATCTATGCCTTTGGTTGCATCCTTCTCCCTCTCCAACACCTCCTCCTCCTCCATAGTGCTTGGCGAAGCCCTGCCGGAGTACTGCAGCTCCATCAACACCACGCTGTCGTGCTGCTGCTGGTGCCATCTCCCTCAACCTCTCCTTCCCCCTTGCTGGATCAAGAAGGAGGAGACGTGGCTGTTCCGTACGTGTGGTGAACGCGGATGTGCCGTCCGTTCGGTGCTAGGATCTCCGGTGATTTGGATCACGTCGTGTTCGACTACCTCATCCCCGTTCTTTGAACGCTTCCGCTCGCGATCTACAAGGTACGTAGATGCATCTAATCACTCGTTGCTAGATGAACTCATAGATGGATCTTGGTGAAACCGTAGGAAAATTTTTGTTTTCTGCAACGTTCCCCAACAGCTACTACCATCAAAACTATCATACTACTGTGCTAGTGATCACTTTGTTGCAGATAATTAATATCCAGGTGTGGTTGAATTGACAACTCAATTAACAACTCAGCTGCTAATACTTGCAAATATTCTTTGGCTCCCCTTATGTCGAATCAATAAATTTGGGTTGAATACTCTATCCTCAAAAATTGTTGCGATCCCCTATACTTGTGGGTCATCACAAACCAGGGGGCTTTGCGGGCGTTCAGTCACTTCTATGTAAGGGTCTGACACCCTGGACCCACCCAAAACACTCTCCCTCGCTTGCTCCCTTTCCAGCGCGAAGCAAAATTCATGTCGTTCATCACCGCTCCAGAGTGTCAGTGCCGCATTCATGAATGCCCAGAGCGGACGTGACCTCTCACTTCAACAGGCATTGAAGCGGTGGACCGGCCGGGAGTGCCTGCACTCCGTGTCCCAGTGCACGTGCCTTCTCTCTGCCATCAAACATCACCCATTTGTCTGCCTTCCTCCATGAAACAAGCGCAGTTGCCAAGGAACCTACTCATGCGCCCGCATCTGAACGCCACATGTCCGTCCGTCTGTCGGCCGACATTAAACACCCTGTCTCTTGGCCTGGCCTCCGCCGCCATTTAAACGTGGCCAGGCCCAGCAACAGTCACATCCCACCTCCGCTCTCGATATCCTCTCTGCACCACACCCACCATAGCCTCGAGCTCCAAATCCCTATGGGAGAGGCTCTCGAGCGAATAGAAGCAGGAGCTCTTGGGCATTGCGGCCGGCTAGCAGGCCCACCAAAGCCAGCCGGATATAGGCTGGCTTGGTGGCAAGCTCTCCGGAGGGCAGCGATGCAGACGAGCCAATGGAAGAGGCGACCGATGACGAGCTGGCGCCATCGCCCTTGCCGGTCCATGCCGGCATCCCCATGTGTGGGCGCGGGCACACTACACCGACATGGTGGTGCAAGAGTGGGAGGCGGCACTCCCGGTAGGCATAGGCCGACCAAAGGTGTAACCTCTAGCTCCTCAACGAGCACTATCTCGCGGAGGAGCAAATCGCCCACGACCAGGTGACCGACAATGTCGTCACGAACATGGTGGCGGACGTGGATGAGCAGAAGGCGTTGCTCATGACCCACCGCACCATACGCGACCCCCCCCCACCCCCCACCCCTCGCGGCGAGCGATGGCAGTTGCGCATCATGCAGGCGGTGAAAGACATTATGTTCGCGGAGATCAACGTGGTGGCGGAGGAATTTGATGATGCCACCGGGGATGGCGCCAGCTCCGCATAGGTCGCGCCCCGTCGCCAGGACGACGAGGCTGACACGTCCACGGCCGTCGCCGATAGCGAGGAAGAGTAAAACATGAGAGGCCACCGCCGCTTGGGTCCCAGAAAGGCCACCGCCACCGTCTATCCGGGCTTCACAACCGGTGAGCTTGCCCCCTTCGCAGAGGCGGAAGCCACTATTCTTCTCGTCCCGCTGAAGCTTCAATTCCCGAGGCTCATCGCCCGCCAGCAAGTTTGTTGTCGGACATGGAGAAGACATGTTGTGGAAAGCGGACACCGATGAGCATTTAGTTGAAATATGTCAAAAATCATTTAGTTGAAATATGTCAAAATGTAATGAATGTACTCAGGTTTAAATAAAAATCATTCGATTTTATGTAAAATTTACTTAAGCTTGAATGGAAGTTGTCCGGTTTGTTCAAATGTGGCAGGATGATTGTGGCTAGTTACTTTGGATGCCGGCTCCCGCATCAATGCCTGGACTCCTGTCCGAACCGGTCCCCGGATAGATGTGGCGTTTGTTTTACAGGTCGGCGTTGGAGATGCCGTGATGTAATCTTTGCGAACTAGGTCGTCCTTGCATGCAGCAACCGAAGTTTTGTGTGCTTTAATTCCACGCTTCCATCTTTACCTCTGGTTTGGCTTTTAAAATGTGTGTAAACCGTCGATTACGTGATGACCAGATTCATCCTTCTTGCTAAAAAAACCTCCTGCGTAAGGTTTACAAAGAATAAAGCCATGACAAGGGCGATAATAAAGCCAACAAATTCAAGGATTCAGTTGTCTTCTTGGGGTAAAAAGGCACAACATCTCCCCGTCAAGATCAAAGCCAACAAAATGGAGAACTAATAAAGCACAAATTCCTTCGTCTATACATACAATCACAAACGTCGAGAATTTGATCACACATCAAAGAGCACACATAATCGCCAAACAAGTAGAGCCTTGTAGACAGATGAATGGCAGACAACTAAAGTGAGCCCACACATTCATTAGAATGCTTACTAGTACTACAGTAATAGCTACCACTCTATCATCATTCCAAAAACTCACCCTGCATGTATGCTTTCTCCTAAACTCGCCAATCCTGAGTCCTGACAAACGAAGTTAAATTACCTATGACCCGAGCTTGAGAGATTCCAGTCCATGAATCCCTTTCTTGAACATCCCTTGGAATGGCAAGCCCATTCTTCTCTCTTTTGCTTTTGATCCCTTCACCGCACCATGTTTAGCATCTGAACCGTCAGTCATGCAAACGCCTTTCCCCTTCACGTCATATGTTCTTGCATTAGGCGTTCGTCTGCTGAAACTCTCATACAGATCAGGAGAATGCCGCATCAGCTCACTCGCTGAAGAGTACCCCATCAACCGATGAAGCTTAGACTCCTTGCCACTTCTTTCATCAATGGTGTTGAAAGATGAGTTCCTTGACACATGCAGGGGCCGTTCGTCCTCGGTAGAATAGCTCACACCAGCCGAGATGCCGTATTCTTCCGAGTACGAGTACGAGTATGGTTCAGCTTGATGGACACCAGTGTTATGGTCATCGCCTACCTGGTGAATTTCCGAGTCATCTGTGCTGGACTCATCGCCCCCAAATGGTGACTCAAGTTTCTTTCTGTTGGGGTCTCTGTACGAGTAGGAGAGAACTTGCGCGCAGGAGCCACACTGCAGCCTGCGTGTTCCTCTGCTCGGAATGGCAAAATCGGTGGGCAGCTGGACGAGCCTCAGACAGTTCGAGCAAAGGACGAACGGCGCGCCCCGTAGGACTGGCCGGCAGAGATTTCTCGAGGCAGGCCGCCGCTTTGTCTCCATAGCTGGTGGCTTCTGCGGTGCAGGTTCTTGTTTCCAGGAGCTGCAACAAGGTGGGCGGCAGCTGTGGTGGCATTGGTGAGGGCAAGGTCTCATTTCCAGTTGCCCACTGCGAATGTATGAGTAGGCGCTGCGCCGGCCATACCGCGGTAAGGGCGGTCCATGGCCATGGGGAGCAACTTGGCCAGACCTGCTCAGGCGAGATGCATAGCCAGAATGCTTGACGGCGGGATGATAAGCTGTAAGAGGTTGGCTGTAACCATCTTGTTTCAGCGGATGTGGACGGTGTGCCCTTGGCTTGCAATCTGAAGGTTCATTGAAGATTTCAGAAAGGTCACCTTTCAATTCATCCACCGTCTTCATAATCTTCGATTGAAGGGGTTCGCTTGCCCTGAAGCTTTTTGACTGGAATGAAGTCCGGGAAGAGTGGAAAGCAAGGGAGTCAACTGATACTGCAGGCACTTCTCGGAGATCACAAGACTGAGAATGCACCCTTACGAGTTTGCTTCTCTTGCTTGCCGCGGGTTCAGTTTTGCGTGCTCCACTCTCCTCAGATTCTGGCAAATTGCTAGCTAATTCTCTTTCCTCGGATAACGGTATGTTCTGTTCTGAGGTATTCAGTCTGCTTTCCATATTACCATCTTCGTTTATCTCGCAAGCCTCTATATTCCCTGCACTTTGCTCCACCGTGTCGTTCTCTTCTTTGTCAGAATCCACTATATGTGTGCCATTCCCACTGGGTTGTACAAGGGCAGCAAGATCTTCTACTTCTCCATTGGTGTCCTGGCCATCAGAACTGTCGTCTTTGCTGCTTTCAGTATTTGCAACGTCCATAACATTCTCCTCATCTGACATAATATCACCCTTCTCGCTGCTTCCGATGTCATTGCCCTCTTGCTCGATCTCGGTGCTTGGAGCACCAAGAGTTATGGAATCATCCGCAGCTGCACCAATGGAACCCAGTTCGTTGCTTTGGGGAGACACCCCATTGCTCACAGAGGTAACAACAGAGTAATTACCAGAGTCTTGCCGAACTTGTTTTGTCGACACCCCATTGCTCACAGAGGGAACAACAGAGTAATCCCCAGAGTCTTGTCGAACTTGTTTGGTAGCCACATTTTGTGCATCGCTGACACGGATTTTAGCTGCATAAATGTAAACACACGCCAAAAAGAACAATCAATTCCTCAGAAACTAATGGGCAAACCGATTTGTGTGTATTTGTACTAAAATAGCGACAATTAATATGGATCGGAGGGGTTAGTTCATAAGGAGGAAACCTCGCTAGTTGAGTGTAGCATGGAATTCGTACCTCTAAGAGTGGTGTTACATCCACCGCACTGGTAGACTGAAACATTTGCAGGTTCAGGTAGAATGTTAAGACACTTTGGGCACCTCACAAGGCGAAAGCCGCCTGTGTTTGCACTTGCCATCAAACAAGAAAGACCAAGGGCATCACCCGGAGCACAATATTTCCAGGCAGTAGTTATCTACCAGCTACCACCAAACTGATACCAGGTCCAGAATCCAGAGTTTCTGTATCTGCAAACATTCAAGAGAAACATGATCAAATTCCACTAGCACCTGGTTGGACTAATAGCATGAAAACCTGTCTAAAAAATTCAAAGCCCACTGAACGTGAATAACATGTATCCGTAGCATGAAACAAATCTGAAGAAACATAAAACACAAGGTGGTGCAAGAAATACAGTTCCAGAACCACATACAAATAAGATTAGCTGCTGTTTGTGTGAAAAACAAGATCGGCTGCGGACCAAGAAATGCAGGGGCAAGATTGCACCACGTACTGCCTTCGCAGTTGAAACATTGAAATCATCAGTAGGCAAATAGGCGTTTTGGCCTATTGGCTACTAGGGAGGAATTGGCCGATTAGAGAAAGAAACAAATCGGAAGGTAGTGATTGTTGGGATCCCTTTGTCTTGCTCATCCAGAATTAATCTACTGGGACAAAGACGTCGAGTACTAGTAGAGTAATAAGGTACTGATTGTTGGTACCTTATTTTGGCATGTTGGTTGGTTGGTAGTAGCACGTACACCTGCCGAAATCCAAAGTAGGATCTCCATAAGGAACGGACGGAGAATCTTACATGTTCGTACGTATCTCGGAAACAAAATCTTATGTGCTATATGGAGTTGCAACCTAGTAGAAAGAAAAAAAAATAAAAAGACAGAGCAATCGATACTGACTTATTGCACATGAAGAGAGTAATCTCGAAGCCAGCTCGAGACGGAGAGAAAGAATAAAACGGAGGAGATGAGGGAAGGGGGAAAAAACTAGGCTCTGGAAAGGCACCGAATGCGGAAGGAAGAAGATGAAGAGGAAGAGGGGAAGAAGCCAAGAAGTCACCTTTCCCGTTCCCTGGATGCTTCCTCCTCGTGGTTTCCACCACTCTTCCCCGGGAGGCGCAACAATCACCACAAGATGGGGAGTTTGTGCAACCAGCCCTGCCCGTGGTCGCCGTCTCCCGCAATTGCAACTCGAGTTCTCGGAAGTTCCACGCCCGCCCCCGCGCTCACCGCTAGTCAGGTCAGGTCAGGTCAAGCAGAGTAGGAGTAGTATATACACAACACAGTGGAGGAGGAGGAGGAGGAGAGTTGACTGGTGGTAGGAAGGAAGTTTTAATGCCCCGATCCCCGGTCTGAACGGGGTTGCGCGCAGCGGGGAAGACTTTCGCCGCGCGCTGCCAGCGGAGAGCGATAGCGAGAGAAGAGAGAACACGGGAGGGAAGGAAGGAGGGAGAGTCCGCGGTCAAACACGCGCGCGCGGTGTAAAATAACAGCGCAACGGAATGACTCGGGACAGGGAGAGGGAGAGGTTGACCGGCCGGCTGTGTCCCGCGGCTGTGCTCGGTAGTGCTCCTGGTGGGTGGGGTGGGTAGGGGGCTCCGGTGCACCTCGCCGCCACGTCCAACTCCTCAGCTCGTGGTACTGGATGCTGCAGTGCCGGGACGCTGGGACCGTGTGGGGCCGAGCCGCCCCCTTAATCCACGCGTGCTTGCCTCCGCGACCGTAGCCTCTTTGCTGCCTTCCCAGTTTCATCTTTTAGAGCAACTCTAACCCGTTCATCCATCTTGTTCACGTGTATCTGTTTGAATCGAAACGGACATAAAAATTGGTCTAACACGTCGATCCAAACGGACGGCGTTCACTTTTCGTTCATCTGCAGCTCAAACTTGGACCTCATTTGCGTCAGCGCGGACATGTGGGACGCCCGCCCACTCCTTTCCTGGCCCACCAATGAGTGGCACATACACCATTCTCCTCCTCCGATCGATAGCAAGCCCCCCGTCGCTTCATCCCGTCACCGACACCGCCCAGTTCCGCTGCCTTCGCCAACAGTCTGCACCCACATACTTCCCTTGCAGCACGCTACCTTCCCACGTCGCTGTCATCACCACCTCGCCATCGGGCCACCACAGCTCCCCCCTCC